TGTCCGTGATGTGAAACTTGGATCCGTGGTAAAAAAGGGGTACTACGGGTAAGCGCGGTTAACAAACGAAACTTATTGGTGGTTATTGTATCAATCATACACAACACGCTCACACGTAAGCACACGCATACATAACTTTCTTGCAGTAAGGTTGATTTCTGTATAAAAATGTTAAGCTTGTAATTGTACCACTTCGTAGTTAGGTCACGAGGCTATGTTGTGAAATTCCTGTCTATGTCCGCATTTGGTATCGTTGCATGAATTTTTAGCAAATAAATAAAAAATAACTACCATCTTCCTTCTAGGAATATCGAGACTCTCCTCCACCTCCTGAAGGGCAGTCTGGGCACGGGCATTCTGGCCATGCCACACGCGTTTTCCAACTCTGGCTACGTGGTGGGCGTGGTGGGCACGATCGTGATCGGAGTGCTGTGCACTTATTGCATTCACATCCTGCTGGATTCGTGCTACGCGCTGTGCAAGCGGCGGCGGGTGCCGTCGCTGACCTACACCGCTGCGGCCGAAGCGGCACTGCTGGAAGGACCTGCCTGGTGCAAAGCCTGCGCCCCGTATGCTGCGTGAGTATTCCACGTCATTTATCGGATTACTTCTTGGATTTTTTTTTGTTTTCAGTTGACTTTAGAGACTTGCGACAATATTATACTAACAGGAGTGTGACACGAATCAAAAAGTTCCTGCTGGCACATATCAAAATTGTTGACTTTTTACCTACACCTTATCAAGTTGATTCAAACGAGAATTTCGTAAGAGTGTTGTACGATAGCAACTAGAAATAATCGCAGCTCGTTGAAAATTGTCTGTAAATTACTCAAAAATCATTATTTTAGGATTGACCTTACCTTACCTGTTCTACTTATGACCTATATGAGATACGCCTTCGTTTATAGTAGGTAATTTGTTTTATAGCTTGCGAAACTTTAATAAAACTAATGATTTTGTACTTAAGTACTTGAAAACAGTTGTTCTGGTGACAAAAACTTTGAACCATTACCCTCTTTTCTTTGTCAGGCGGTTAATTGTTCTAAACGTTTCTCCTATCTGCGACAAACAAAGCAGTGGTCTTGAACTAAATACTTGCTCTGTTTCTGTACAAGTATTCCTTTTGTTTAACCACTTTTTACAATGTCGACGCACTCGACTGTGATTGTTGGCCGGACGCAAGAAGTGCCTACCTACTACCTACCTATCATTTTGTTGTTTTCCCAGTGAAGATAATCTAATATACTTACAGTCAAATGATCTGAAATCATTAGGCAATTGAAGATTTGCAGTGACTGGTCCAATTTGTTATATCTAGTTCCCTTGCTAATAGTGATAATAGAAGATAATCTTCTTCGTGCCCGTGTCGTGTCGAATCAAAATAAAGTATCGCAAATTACGAGTACCTACATCTAATACCCATTAACATATTAATTATTACAAGTTCCGCTTCAAATGTTTAGTAAAAATTTTAAGAAAGCCATACCGTTTACCTATATTTCCCAGATTTTTTTTTATATTATTATTATGTACATTATTGTTACAGCCATGTCGTCAACGCTTTTCTGCTGATATATCAAATCGGAACCTGCTGCGTATACGTCGTTTTTGTTGCTGAGAACATCCATTATGTGTTGACCAAGCAGTTTAACTTGGAGATTGAAGTCATCCAGGTCATGGGAATCATTTTGCTACCCCTGATCATGATCAACTACGTGCGAGACCTGAAGTACCTGGCTCCCTTCTCGGCGGTGGCCAACGCTGTGACTGTGGCCAGCTTCGCGATCATCCTGTACTACGTCTTCAGGGAGCCCCCGACGTTCGAGGGCAAGGCACCGGCTGGACAACTCTCCCGTTTCCCGCTATTTTTCGGAACTGTGCTGTTCGCTTTGGAGGCTATTGGTGTTGTAAGTGTCTGCTTCTACATTGGCCACGTACTTATTTATAATTTTCATGACAGTTTATGCCTACCTACTTAATTACGAAACCAAACTAGACCTTGACTGGGACCCGAATTTAATTTGAAGTCAAGCAGTAGATCGCGAAAGTAACATCATTCAGTAGTTTTAGTGTGTGCATTTATCTTGTCACAGCTTCCACTTTTTGGGATAAACCTTACTCAGGTTAGAAGTGTGACCTTTTATAATTCGTCGCAGAGTTCGCGTTAAAATAAATCTTCCATTTGTTCATCCAGATTCTACCTTTGGAGAACGAGATGAAGAGCCCAAAGGATTTCGTTGGCAAGTGTGGCGTGCTCAACCAGGCCATGATCAGCATCATCGTCCTGTACGTTGGCATGGGACTGTTCGGCTACCTGCAGTACGGAGACAACGCTAAAGGCAGCATCACCCTCAATTTACCGTCTGAGACCGAGATGTAAGTAGCAACTGAAGTGGAGTTGCCGCCTTTGTCTAATAATAATTCCTGCCGAGGGATGCCTAGGAATCTGGAATACACATGGCTTAGTCAATTTAATATTATCACATCAAATTAACCTCCTACACGTAGGAGAAATCCTCCACTTGCTCCGGTAAATTAGAGAGCATCTTGCAGTGGAGAATAAATGACCTGATGATGACGATGATATCCATTAAAACACGTCAGATGCATATGCCAGATTAATCAACAGCCAGAATAAAAAGTAACGGGGTTTAGTTTGAGTGAAAATATAGGTACTTACACATATTTTAATCTAAGTAATGTTCTTCCTTCACAGCCTGGCTAGCGTGGTGCAATGCCTGCTGGCGTTCGCCATCTACATCACCCACGGCCTGGCCTGCTATGTCGCCATTGACATCCTGTGGAACGAATACCTGGGCTGCCGGCTGCTCAACAGCAAACACCGAGGCATCTGGGAATACTTACTCCGCACTGTTGTTGTTTTGATCACCTGTGAGTGAATCTAGAAATTTACTTTTCTCTAACTAGCTTAAAAAAATTACAGTTCAACTATTCACCGAAACTAGCTTGACCTTGATTGGTTGGGTTTTATAGGCAGTCAATCTGAAGATATTGGCAACACGAGTTGCAGTGGTGGGAACGAGAGATGGAAATAGTCCCTTTTGTAGTTAACCTGTGACTCTAATAAACACCCAAGCCCCAAGTAACGAATGATTATTTTGTTTCAGTTGGAATCGCCGCTGCGGTGCCTGAGCTGGACCTGTTTATCTCCCTGTTCGGCGCCCTCTGCCTCTCCGCCCTCGGCCTGGCCTTCCCCGCGTTCATCCAAAGCTGCACCTACTGGTACTACGTCTCCGACTCCGAGCGCATCCGCATGATCATCAAGAACGCCATCGTCGTGCTCTTCGGCATCCTGGGACTGGTCGTCGGCACCTGGACCTCTCTTCAGGGCATCATCGCCAAGTTCTCCGGCGGACACGACCACCCTCTGAGCGCCAACGCCACCGAAGCCGCCGATTTCTTCAACGCCACGATTGCATCCCATTGAATTGATTTCCAATTTCACTAGATTCCTTGAGCTGGGCTCGCATTAAATTTAGTTTTGACAGTGCCATCGAGGAGACCCGTCCGTCGCTGCTTTCGGTATTCCACCACCACGCCAGAGTACCTCATAGGGCGGCGATGATCAACGTTAGGGGCTCATTTAAGATTGTTTCTATTGTTATTTTAGTTTAATTAAGCATAATTTAGTGAAAGGTTTCCATAGTACAGTTATCAGTGAGTAGGTTTATGTTGACTTCAAAGTTCAAGCTACCCTAAAGGGAATTTATTTTAATAATTTTATGCATCACTCGAAACAGTATACTTACCCGAAGCCTATGCGTAGGCGACTTTTAATATCTCGTCGTAGCTGTTCTGAATGTGTAGTTTAGTAGAATCATCAATTTAATCAATATTGACTTACGTATTTTACCATTATAATATTAATAAATCGACTTTTAAATGTTTTTAAATATCTAGATGTTGTGATTTTAGAATAGTCGACTTGCAGAGAAGTGACCTCTATGTTTTAAAAAGTATTAAGTATATGTTACTTGTATGTGTAGTAGTAGTTATGGTGTCGTTGTAGTCTTGTCAGGAACGTATCGTACAGCTTGGGAGCTGGTCGGAACTACTTAAAAAAGACATTACATAGTTTATCAAGTTTCAAACGCGTACGCGCAACGAAGCGTCTTTGCTGAGCAGGAACAACTATGAGCTCGAAACAAAACAGTACACCTATTCAAAAGTTGCCATATTTAAAAGGGCCAGTTCTCGCTGAATTTGAATTTGGCTTACTATCCAATAGGAAGTGATTCTATGTCGAATAAAGAATGGCATTTGATAGCGTAAGATTAATTAAGTACAATGATATGGAATATGTCACTATAATAGAATAATTAGTAGTGAATTCCCATAATGTGTAACAGTAGGGACTGTAGGTGTGACCTCGCGAGATATGGTGGCCGGTGCGGGACGTAGGAGACAGATTTTTAACAGTTGGATATTAAAATATGTCAGTTGTTAGTTGCTCGTGGATATCAAGCGTGAACTGGAGCGCCGGCACGGCATAGGAAGTGGCAATTGAAGACCGGATTGAGCTGGAGCATTTACTTATAACATTTTATGTGCCACCTAATTACAATATTATATAAGTTCCATCATTTAGATTCGCTCCTAATTTCCATGCAGTGTACAAAATTTTACAAAAACATATCCGGTCGTTATAATATTCTTTTTAATACAATCTGTGATGTTAATAGTTAATATATTTTATTTTATTTTTAGGACTAATTTTGGTTAACTGTGTTACTATGTGCGATGTGTTTCACACGTCAGTGATATTGTGCTCAGAGAGATGTATTAAGGGGTCGAATCCCGTATTATTATTATTATTAAATAAATTATAAATTAATTTACTTTTTGTTTTATTTTCCACAGTATTTATGTCTCTTTATTGTAACCTTTTTGTCATTTTATAGTTGTAAGTTTAAGTATTGATGAGATACACAATAACAGGGGCTCCTCCATAACTCTTTCACAATAAAACAACAGCTGAGTAATTTAAAAAATAATATATTAATCAAATCAACATAATCGCTTCTCAGGTTCCCGTAAAAGTGCATTAATTATAGTTTGTTGCCACATCTAAAAATTTAAACAACCTACAACATTTTAGGGGATAATGTGATCCAGCCGAATCAGGGAACTGAATTACTGTTAAAATGTCATAAATAATAATAATTGCTTCACAGAAATACTTCGCCTCGATATAATTAATATTTTAATTATTCCACACCACAAAACATAGATTATGTAATTATTTCGCTCAACATCAATTAATGCTTAGGCCCGAATGTTTTGGTTAACACTGCAAATATAATGCCTACTTAAAATAACAATAATTTCCGCAGATCAAAAATAAAACTAAAACAAATATAACATTTGGTGAACATCCACAGTATTTACAATCACAGTGAAAAGAACAAAAATAATGGCAACGCTGTCGTAGGAATAGACTAAAGAGTGACTCTACATGTTATTTATTTCAAAGTTATAAATGTAACTCACAGTTATTGTTCTTTACACTATGACACACGTTAAGAATTCGTTAGTTGACACACCAAACTCTATTTTTTATACAGGAGATTCTCTGTTATAGATTTCGTATATTTATCATTGAGAACTCGATTTATTATTTCAAAGCTTTAGGTTTTCAGGTCTATGTTGTTGGGGAAATTGTGCCTTGGAATTATGTAATTATAGTATGGTGTCAGTCAACTAACCAATAATTAACCCTAAGAAAAATCGGCTAACCAGGCGTCGCTTTTCCGCGTATCACTTGTCACTAACATAAAATTAACCGAGAACCAAAGCCTTACTAAAAGCCTGTTTATACTAAGTACTGTTAAATATTAACCTACATTAAATAGTGAATGTACAAATACAACCATGATTCGGAAATACAAAATATAACTGTTTACTTACAATTAAAATGAGGAATGCTTAAATGAATATCAAAATAACTAAAACTACTCGCAATTTTTGTGTTTTAAAACAAGTACAGCAACAGCACATCCGACTATAATATTTTGTTGCAAAATAGAATTTAATACAACTAGCACACAGTTACATTTAGTTACTGTGGTTGTAAAAACGTTTATGTTATAAGGCTACATTTGTGTAAAACAACGCCATCGAATATTTGAAGTCGGCCAATTGTACAACACTACACTACAATTCTAACGTACGGTATACGTGAGAAAATTTGTTCACGTTGTTTTTATTTTTATTATCATAGAAAAATTTTGAATACGATATGCGCTACTTTTACACAGCACTAGCATTAAAAATACTTAATAATCTAAATCTACCATTTGTACTACATCAAATACATTAATATTAACACTATTAAATATGTTTCGAATGCATCTTTAGACCGGTAAAAAAGATGTGCAGATCTAAGCCACAAAAGTATTTCCCTTTTCACTTTTTTAAATTTCATGCAGATAACATTGTTTACTAAGTTACAAATATACCGAGCATATGGAAAACTTGAGGCCATTGTTTCCAAACAAACCATCAGTAATGAGCGTTAATAATACTAATTAGATCTATCTACTGACATCAACAATCAATAACTCAAACTATTTATACGTAGATCAATTCATCCACGAAGACTCGCCCCACCATTCTTCCACTATAGTTATCGGTACAGGCTAAATTATCCATGAGTGCACACGCACACTACAATAATGCCGCTCGGATTGGTCGGTTAAAACTCCCCGCACCCCGCGCGACCGAGACCAAAATGTGGTGGGGCGCGTCTTCGTGGATGAAACGAGCTATACCTACCTGTATAACTACCCTGATCATACTTGGCTGTGAAGTTCTTTGCATCATGAACTATTTTACTTAGTTTGAAAGTATCTGTCTTTTAATTTGGATTAACAATCAACAGTATTAAAGAGATGAGTTTGAATAATATTAAATTATGAAGTTATCAAAACTTGAAACTTATCGGAACTTAGGTATTATCGAGGTAGATTAGTATTTTCATCTAAAACGGCTTTTATTTACTTCATAAAAAATACAAAGTACAAAAAAAATCGCAACGCATGTCATCAAATGAATCCATTTAAAACTATAAGCATTGTTCATATGGGCAGGTAAATAAGTCTGCCTTCACTACAATGTTTATTTTCGACAGCTATTAACAATGGAATTTAATGCACGAATAAACTTCATCATTATTTGTTTATTATTAACTGAATCAATTTTATTGTTTCGAAACTGTGAATTCCAGTCCCAGGAAGCCCGGTCATTCAACCGATACAAAGTAAACAGCTGAGCGTTGATAAATTGTAATTGAAATCTAGAAAAATTCGGAAATTCAGGAAAACTACACGCGCTTACATGATTAGTTTTGAAAAGATAGGTACAATTTAATTCTACAAAATTATAAATTTTGGAGAATACATCAACAAACTGTACTTGTTTCAACGTTACATGATTGGACTTACAAACACAAGATAAGTCGTTAATACTTAAAAGTTTAATTATAAAAATACTTCAATAACATTTAAACATTACATAATCACATTATAATAATATTAATTAAAGACATTAACAAAGAAATCAAAATATTACAGTGATACAACGTCACCTAAATTAAAATAATGCATCAGTAAAATTTATGAATATCACATAGCTGGCAACGTAACAAATGTTGATATTCATCAAGAATCACTAGCTACAAGTTATTTATGGAGTCATACAACTAAATTAAAACTGAACTTGTATCACACATAATTGAACAGGACAACACAATCTTGACAAACAATTTTTGCACTCTAGTCACTTTACTTCAATGTTTTTGACCACCTAAATAGAGCCTGACCACATATGGTGCAAATCGTAGCAGTAGTAACTGCACAGCAATGGTGTTTTATAATAAATGTAGAAAAAATAAGGCTTTTGAATCTGTAATTCGTCTAATCAAACCTTCCGCTAGCCGTGGCTAATTCAACTGTAGGTTACAACCCACCAACAAGTTAACAATTGTTTAAAAAAATCGTACCTTATTAATCAAGAAACATTGCACACTACAAGTAATTTGAAATATTAAAATCGTTTTCAATAACGTTGAATATTAACAATATACCATACAGGAATCATCAAAAAACACTTGCAAATGTAACCTTAGCCTTAAAATATAACCAGAGTAACGTAAATTGTCTACGTACGCGATATTGTGTCGCCTTGTACATAAATTTCCTTCGTCATTTCTTCCCCGAGTCGTACCCTGGGAGGATACTCCTGAGAGCAGCCATCAGCTTCTCATTCGGCTCTGGTTCGTACTTGGCCAGGTTCTGGCGGCAGCACGGACAGCTCTGGGAACCGGTTGATTTGAACGCTAGCTTTATGCATGCCTGCAAAGAAGTTAATTCTTATTACGAAGAGTAATCAAAGGCCTTCAGCGAGTAAAATTAAAGGACCCTCTTCACCATTACCGTGTTGCGAACATCGTCTTGCTATAGTCTGGTCGCCGAGCACGTAGAATTTTGTCCAATCCGTAATTATATTGCTGTCGCGCTCACACACTCACTGCTGCCGCCCGTCGCACAGTCGCGACAGCAATATAATTACGCGCGAGCGATAAGGATGGGTAGCTTGGGGTCATTGGACAAAATTCTACGTGCTCGGTGACCAGACTTTAGTGCCTGCGTGTTCGGATACAATAACTGTGACAATGGAAGACTCGACGCCAGCGCTGCGTAGATCCGGCAATGTTTGAGATGCTTAACTGCCTAGCTCACATAAATATTTATAACTATGTATATTTTAAAGTCTGTAAACCCTTGAAAAAGAGGCTGACAATAGTGACTGGGTTTCTTGCGCTGCTTTTTCTCAGCACTGGCCCATTTATTGTCCTGAAGCAGTGGTAGGGTTAATACTGGGACGTTTAAAAGTACTTTTTTTAAAAGCCTACTTGCATAAATAAGAGTTTTTATTATATCTGCGCAGGCACTGGTAATACGACGCTTGAAAGACGCTAGTGTGGAAGGTCTCTAAGGCAATTTGAGATTATAACTCTACCTGCAATATAATCCTATAGGATTAGCCACACTGGATGCGTCCAGCGGTCATACATGATGCAGGCTGCGTTCACTTTGACCTGACCGTAGACCCCAGAACGCATCCAGTGTGGATCTTTTATAGAGCGATTTTGCACAATGATGTTTCAGTTTCGCTTGTTGCACCTGTCTTCGCATAGCATCAAGACATGTATATCAAATTCTACTCTCTGACTACTTACCATGCAGAAATTGTGCAGACATGGCGTGGTCACCGGGCTGACTGCAACCTCTTGGCAAATGATGCACAAGAAGACCTGTGTCACATGTTCCACGAATTCCTAGAAAAAAAAAACAATTTGGATAAAATATACAATCATCATCAATACATTCGCGTTCTTTCTACTTCTTACAGTTGAAAATTAATTCATTTATAGCTCGCGCAGCAAGAGTTGAGGCGATCAACACAAACAAACATGTCTATACACGTATACGCATGTCGTGCTGACGTCTTGCGTAGTCCGAGTGACAAGTGCTTTCTGTCTTGCTTGCATATATTTAGCAAAATCGAGACAGCTTTATTCGATATACGTATGAACTTGCATGTGTAATGTGTCGTGTGATCTGTATTTACATTTAGAGCAGTATGAATATGTGATCGATTCAACTTTCGTTGCGCAACCTATCATCATCATTTTCAGCCATAGGACGTTCACTGCTGAACATTGGCCTCCTCCAATGATTTCCATAATGGCCGGTTGGTGGCGGCCTGCATCCCGCTACCTTTATGAGGTCGTCGGTCCACCTTGTGGGTGGACGTCCTACGCTGCGCTTTCCGGTACGCAACCTATACTATGTAAAGTATTACCTTCTTTCCTTTGGTGTCACAAATTTCAATGCACTCCTCCCACAGCTTGACGTTCAACGAATCCTCCTTGACGACGTCCCTCTCCTCAGCGGACAGCCCGCTGTCCGCATCTTTGGCTTTCTTCGCGCTCTTCGGACTCTTGATGTTGAAGATGCTTGGTATCTTAGCTTTCGGACTCTCTGTTATGCTGGCGTTCTTTGCAGCTGGAAATTAAAAAATCGATAGCTTTGTGCAAAACGAACAAGGGTTTGGTTTTACGCAATGAGGGTTTTCGCGTATGAAAAATCCGCCAGATGGCAATACGTAGACGCGATGTCCAAATGCTGCATGATTGGTTATTTTTGACATGACATTGACAGATATGTCAAAATCCACCAATCACGCAGCAGTCAGACCCCACATCCACGTCCCGCCATCTAGCGGATCTTTCATACGCGAAAACCCTCATTGGAACCACGGCACGGTTTAGTTAGATCAATAGTATCAATATATCCATTCATTCTTTGCTTAAAAATTATACAATATCGATTGCAGTTCAAGAATTTCTTCTGTAAAATTTATACATTTATTAGCTTCTGCGCGCGACTTGCTTTGAGCTTGTCATAGCGTGATGGTATAATAGGTATAATAGTCTATTTCCTCGATATATGGGCTATCTAACACTAAAAAAAACCAGTAGTTCCTGAGATTAGCGCACTCTTCAGCTTTATAAGTTACCCAAAAGACCCTGCAGGTAAACGTAAAAATACCATAGTAACAGCTATACTTACGTTTGTCTTTCTTCTTCTGCTTATCTTCCTGAGAGGTTTTCCGTTTCTTCACAGGTGGGGAAGCCTCGCCCTCCGATTCCGTTGTCTGATTGCTTTCCCTAAGCGCTCTCTTTTTAGAGGTTTTAGTTGTCTTCGCTTTGCCGTTCTTGCCGGACTTTTCTTTCAGGGCTTTTTTCTCGGCTTCAGCCTCTAGGTAGCCATCAGGGTAGACGATGGGGTACTGCTTGGCGTCTGGTTCCCAGGGCGCGGGACTAGGGTCGTCCCTTCGCAGCAGGTACTTCCACACTCGGTACCCTGACAGTCCCTTCTCTGGGTAGTATTTCACCACTTTGTAGATACCGTCGTACCTGGTCATGAAAAATTATAAAAATGTGAATTGCCAGCAAAGACATTTTCACGTAAAATGTTGCAAAAATGAGATATGAGAGAGAGGTTATTGTCTCCTTTGGATTTGTATGGGGCCATACACACGACACCGACGCGGCGGTGGCGAGTCTGCATCGCGATGGCGTATCTACAGAAGATATGAGAGAGATAAGCGTCTTGTATTGATTTGTATGAGGCCATACACATGACTATGTGCAGCGACGGCGAGTCTATGCATCGCAGCGGCGATATCTACAGATATGAGAGAGAGACTAGTGTCTCCTTTAGATTTGTATGGTCCCATACACATGACCCCGTTGCGGTTAAGAGCCATTTTACATTTTCCTGCCTAAGATTTTGGAAGCATGAATTACTATCTTAAGCAACACCCAGAGATTATTTAATTACTGCGAAAGATAGTTCAATCCTTGTTGTTGACCAATAATGTAACGGATTTACTAAAACTCTTTTGATTAATTCTCAGTGCCCCATCTCCCACAACCGTTTTACGGAAAAATTGCCGCAGACTCAATTTCAAAGTCCTGTATCTATTATTTATGCTCGTATAATAAGCTTAAAAATATATAGAAATCATCGGACATATATTCTTGTAGTCCAATAATCAAACGGATTCTTGAATTTCATTACCATTATTGAGTATAATCTAAAAAAAGGCGAGTATCTACATCGCAGCAGCGTATTATATAGATATGAGAGATAAGCGTCTTCTATGGGTTTGTATGGGACCATACACAAGACACCGCCGCGGCGTGGGCGAGACTCTAAATCGCGATGGCGTATCTATAGATATGAGAGAGATTAGTGTCTCTCTTAGATTTGTATGGGGCCATACACAAGCCTCCTTGATGAGCCAACATTCTAACCTATATTGGGAGCATACGCTGACAAACTTTCAGCTTTTATATAATGACGTAGGTCTGGCGTTCACTAGCTAATAGTCTAACGCCCGTATTCACAAACATTACTATGAGGTATCACAGTGCGCGTGGACGCACATGGTGTCACATGCACCAATCACAGAGCTCTATTCGCCGCTGTGCGTTCGATTTGCTACTTCACATAAGCAAGCATCGTTTGTGAATACGGACGTAAGAAAGAATTCTTCTTCAGATAGCTTCTTCTCAGCACTGGCCCATTTATTGTCCCGAAGCAGTGGTAGGGTTAATATTGGGACGTGTAAAAGTGCTCTTTAATTTATTTATTTAAAAGCCTATTTACAGAAATAAATAAGTTTTACTGAGTTTGCACTGAGTTTTATTGAGTTTTTTAGTTATATCATAGAATTTCAGAAAAACTAGTATTAAAATCGGACTGGAAACAAAAAAGTTACAAGTGCTTAACAGTTGAGCGTGACGTCAAATGTCACCCACCCATAGTAACTTGTATTGCTTGTATGGGACTCTGCGTGTCGTTCTAACATGACCAATGACCTCTAACGTCTATATCTTAGGAATCTTTTGAAATTTTTGTTAAAGAAAAGCACTGATTGATATGACAATGCCAAAGCTACTGAAATGAAAAAGTAAAATACCATGCATATTTCCTATTCTGGTGTTACTATGTATAATATGTATGTATTTAAAAAAAAAGTATATAAGTAGTATATCCGTTAAACTAGCACCCATAACACAAGCATATTAATTGCTTACTTTGGGGCTAGATGGCGCTGTGTGAGATTGTCCAAAGATTGTCCAAAGATATTTATTGACTTACCGAATCCCCTCCTTGGGCGCGTACTTAGGGAAGTGCTTGAGCATCTTGTATGAGCGCACGACGCGGACCGGCTTGCCGCTGCGCCAGTCTGCGCCCGCGTCGCCGCCCTCCTCGCTGATCTGTTTCACGGCGCAGTTCCGCGCTAGTGCTCTGACAACAAACGACGGAATGAACAACACTTAGGCTTGATTTCCTCCTACGCTGACGTCGGTCGCGTACATCGGTCGAGCGTACGAATAAACACAATGTTCTATGAAGCACCGCACTGCAACGCCGTCGCCAGCGGCAGATGATTACATAGAACTAGTGTGTGATCGTGCGCGCCGCTGACGTCGGTCACCGATGTCAGCCTAAAAGGAAATCAAGCCTTAGAGTAGGCGCACACCGTTGATTTTTCGTCGGCCGATAGTTTAGTCGGGCAGTTGATCAGTATGGGCATGTATGAGAGTGCGCACACTACGCCGATTCGATTTGGCCGATTCTTCATACAAATTAAAATCGGGCACAACTATCGGCCAACTAAAAATCAACGGTGGGCGCCTACTCTTATTCACATTTACAACAGAGGGCTGTGTGAGTTTATATCAAAAGTCGTCACTGAGCGCGTAATAAATGACATTAAATGTGTGACGGATTGTACGTACAGCGCCCCAAACAGAAACTATCGAGAACTAAATTTTTTAACGCGCTCACTAGTGAGCGCACTAGCGGGACGTTTACATTATAGACAATTTGACACCATTCCCAAAAAATTCGAAATCACAACTTTTCTAAAAAGACACTTCATTCCGATCTTACAAACTCAATTAATTTTAAATTACCTGTAAATTACGATTTTTGGTCGCATTGTAATTGAAAAAAGTAGTTTATTTGTTTTGTCAGTTTTGAAAAGTACGTCAATTGATTGGTGGTGTAATCACGTCTATTGTAGTGTGCGTGTGCACTCATGGATAATTTAGCGTGTACCGATAACACTTAAACATTAGCGGAAGAATGGTGGGGCGCGTCTTCGTGGATGAAACGATCTATACACTGTATAGGTGATTGTCTTATGTTACTAATTTGTGGTATAACCACAGAATAATAATAAGTACTACGTACAGAAGTTTTACTTCGCGAAGGTATTTAAAAAAATGTATGCTCAATGTCATTAACAATATGGTGTAATTTAGCCTGTCTCAAGAGTCAAGCACCATTTTGTCGACAAACGTCAGTGATCGGCACTGCGCCGAAGCTACAGGGCTGACTTCGGTAAAATGATGTGACGTGAGGTGCCAAACTGCGGAAAATTCCGGAGGAAATACATGATTCCTCGCATGAATTACCATGAATAATATTAACTACTTATTTACCTCTCAGTGTCTTGAGGCAACTTAAAAAAGTAAGTACATTCTGTGTTTTTATTATTATTTAGGCAGTTAAATACTGCACAGTATTTAGTACACCATTTTCTTTATTTTCTTCCATTATACACAAGAATACGCGTGCGTGAGTTAATGTACGCTCGTATGTGAGGCCTTGTCGAATAGTATCCTGTAGGTGGGCCATCGTGCGTGTTTTGTTTTCGATGTAAACTCGCGGAGATGAACAGGCCTGACTTAGGCTTGATTTCCTCCTACGCTGACGTCGGTCGCGTACATCGGTCGAGCATACGAATAAACACAATGTTCTATGAAGCACCGCACTGCAACGCCGTCGTCAGCGGCAGATGATTACATAGAACTAGTGTGTAATCGTGCGCGCCGCTGACGTCGGTCACCGATGTCAGCCTAAAAGGAAATCAAGCCTTAGAGTAGGCGCACACCGTTGATTTTTCGTCGGCCGATGGTTTAGTCGGGCAGTTGATCAGTATGGGCATGTATGAGAGTGCGCACACTACGCCGATTCGATTTGGCCGATTCTTCATACAAATTAAAATCGGGCACAACTATCGGCCAACTAAAAATCAACGGTGGGCGCCTACTCTTAATCACATTAACAACAGAGGGCTGAGTGTGAGCTTACATCAAAAGTCGTCACTGAGCGCGTAAAAAATGACATTAAATGTGTGACGGATTGCACAGCGCCCCAAACGGAAACTTTCGAGAACTAAAATTTTTTAACGCGCTCACTAGTGAGCGCACTAGCGGGACGTTTACATTATAGACACCATTCCCAAATAATTCGAAATCACAACTTTTCTAAAAAGACACTTCATTCTGATCTTAAAAACTTAATTAATTTTAAATTACCTGTAAATTACGATTTTTGGTCGCATTGTAATTGAAAAAAGTAGTTTATTTGTTTTGTCAGTTTTGAAAAGTACGTCAATTGATTCGTGGTGTCAACACGTCTATTGTAGTGTGCGTGTGCACTCATGGATAATTTAGCGTGTACCGATAAAACTCAAACAGCGGAAGAATGGTGGAGCGCGTCTTCGTGGATGAAACGATCTATACACTGTATAGGTGATTGTCTTATATTACTATTTTGTGGTATAACCAGGCCTGTTCATCTCCGCGAGTTTGCATGGAAAACAAAACACGCGCGACTACCCCTCCTGAGATACCAAATCGACAGGACAATCACGAGCGAGTATTGACGCACGCACGTATTCTTCACCCATTTGCATTGTAAAGACAATAAACCATATGTAAAAACGGTGGTGCAATTAATACTCTACAGTATTTTTAACTGCCTGAATAATATTAAAAACACAAAATATAATTCATGCTTATTCATGTATTTCCTCCGCCATTTTTCGCAGTTTGGCACCTCACGTCACACATCATTTTACCGAAGTCAGCCCTATGTCTTCGGCGCAGTACCGATCACTGACGTTTGTCAACAAAATGGTGCTCGACTCTTGAGACAAGCTAAATTACACCATATTGTTAACGACATTGAGCATACATTTTTTTAAATACCTTCGCGAAGTAAAACTTCTGTATGTAGTACTTATTATTATTCTGTGGTATAACTCACTTGTTTTCCCTCGTCAATGTCTGGTCACAGGACTGTTCTGCCGTCCGCTTGTTCCCGGACAGGTCTCGGCCTCCGCTGCCCGTGTAGGTGAACTCGTTGCCGTGGTCGACGTCGTCCTCGTAGCCGCCGGACAGCACGATGCTGTAAGCGCCTTCCACGTCCCGTCCGTGGATGCCGGACACTGGAGGCCGGTGGACGCCCGACTCGGACAGCTGGAATGGGAGTCGTTGGAGATTTTATTGGGTATTTGAGGACACCGTTGACCATGAATTCAAAGTGAGCTATATATTTAAAACTGCGCCATTTAATCTCAAACTAAGCAAAGGATAAATACAATGACATGACATTCAAAGGCACAAATTAAAAACGCACTCAATGTAATTCTACAAAACATAGATAGAACACGTGAGCGCACATTGTAAGTAGTCTTTAAAAGCAAAAACGTCAGGCAATTCTATCGCATACCCCTATGTATCGCCCCTGAATTCCGAGATCAGCCACTTAATATTTGATTTTACTCTATGCCACAATTTTACAACACAAAAACTGCGCTACAAGGTTAACAAATTAAACGGCAAGCTAGGCAGAAGACACTGATTATCACGTCCACAGAGCTTACCCATTTCAGAATAGGCTAGTTTCCTAAAAAAATTTTTTTAGTTCGTCATGTTTAATATCAAAAAATATTGGACACCTATATTTTTATTTGTCAATCTAACAAATAATTACATAGTTATGGTGCGTTGAAGTTCCGCGCGACGTCACAAAGTGCGGTACTTTTATGCACTCATTGACGTCACGAGCCTCTTCTTGTGAACTTTGGCGCACTTTATCTCTTTAAATTTTCATTAGTTTGAAAAAGTGAAAAATACGTGTAGAGTATTTTTTGAGAAGTTAACTGACGGACTAATTAAAACTCTTGCTTTTTGACCCAGGAAACATCCCTATTATAAGATGTCCCTTGTACCATTAACAAATAATCAAGCTTACTTGTATTCTGAATCTCCAACACATGCCCACTTCAATGCCTGGGATGGGGCCAAAGTGGTTTGGGGGCATGGCGCATGTTTTCGTCTTGCCTGTAAATAAAACGAACCACAGTTGCAATTAGCATTCTATTCGTATGTGTAAGTGTAAAAACCTATGTTGCGGGCTTCAAGCCAGACTGCCGTATAAACAATAGTCCTAGAATTGCATAAACGACCGAGAGCGTCAAGCCAGTGTCGTATATTATGCAAAATCCCTAGTATTGCTTTTATGAGATTCCGGCTTGAAGCCCACGTGTGTTTGATATTATCAATACTCGATGGAATTCAAGTCCTCTACCAAAAACTTAATCAATTAAAATAACTCTGGAGTTTCTTGTGTTGTTATTACTGTTGCTGCAATAGTTAGTAACCCTGTAGCCCAAGCCTGTACTTTAATTTCATTTTGCACTATCATAGCCAAAGATCATCATTTTATTTCGCCAGTGCACTCAGGACATAAACCTCGTCCAATTCATGTTATGCTTAACTTTTTTCAGTCACTGCAAAGTAACATTTACTAGTTTGAATCTAGTTTATCTCTATAGTTAGGTGATGATGACACAGGCACGCTTCGTCGTATGGTGCGATTGTACGTTTTATAAAGGAAGGCATGGAAATATTGCATGGTACTAGAGCACGTGTCAACGAAGGGCATGTTCTAGCTTTTGCCCACGGCTTCGGCCGCTTGAAATTTAGCTTGTCACATCGTTATAAATTAAGGCCTAAAGTATAAACAATATTACTGCAAAGTTTTATCAAATACGATACGATCCACACAGGATTGCTTTAATAATGTACTGTATGAAATTACAATTTTATTAAAGTAATACCGATATGCTTTTGCAATTTATTCGCATTTGGCACACATATGTTATAAGGCAAATTTTCATCCAGTCAATCGCTTCTAGCAGTCTTACATCCTTACTTAAATTCGCCAAGCTCAATTTAATAATTACGAATAATTCTTACCAACACAAGCCATCCCGCGTCCCCAGTCCCGGCTAGTCTTGGAAGCGCTGGTCTTCTTGGCCTGCTTGGCCGCGCCGGGGGCGACCACATCTGTGGGGTCCCGCTTGCACGACGGGCAGTACCAGTCTTCGTCGGGTAGCTCTTTGAGCGGCGGCGAGAGGCAGTTCATGTGGTAACCGTTGTTGCATTCGTCACATAGGACAATCTGGAAAAAAAGGAAGGTTTTGTTGGTTGGTCTCAAGAATTGGCTGATAGACTGCTGTATCTATTATATCAATGCTTTTTATTTACCATTTTGCATGCTAAAAATGTAAAGTAAAATAGTAAGCACCGTTTGTAAATTATAATATAAGTCCTCATATAATATAATACCTGTTCTATGCAAATAAATGTTTGAATATCAATTTGAATTTGATATTTTGTAAAAGGTCATCTGACCAGCTATCAAAACTATCCGTGATTATTTAGAAGTATAGCGCCTGCGGCAATGATGCGATGCGGCAATGATGCGATGCGGGAAGGTGTGTTTGTTACGTCAGCGAGACCTCAGATATGATAGAAATACGTAGGTATGCCGAAAGCACATCATAAAACTTAAAAAGATGCTACAAGCAGTGTTTAGCTTATATGCTGTCGCCTGTACGTACGTATCCAAATTAATAGGCAACAAAACACTCTCTAGCTTAAATTTTATGTGATTACACTTACTTTTTCAGGAAATTCTTTCCCAGAGCAGAGATAACACCCGCAGTCCTTGCACGGCGCGTCTTCGTCGTCTCGGCACGTCAGACAATTCAATGGCAGAGCTCCTGGAAAGTTATTAGGTAAACAATTTAATGGGGATGTTGCCTGGGTCAAAAAGCAAGAGTTTTAATTAGTCCGTCAGTTAACTTATCAAAAAATACTCTACACGTATTTTTCACTTTTTCAAACTAATGAAAATTTAAAGAGATAAAGCGCCCCAAAGTTCATAAGAAGAGGCCCGTGACGTCAACGCTTGCTTAAAAATGCCGCACGTTGTGACGTCGTGCGCAACTTCAACGCACCATAACTATGTAATTATTTGTTAGATTGACAAATAAAAATATATGTGTCCAATATTTTTTGATATTAAACATTACGGACTAAAAAAATTTTTTTAGGCAACTAGCCTATTCCTTCTTGCAAGCTGCTAGTTCATCCATTCATACAGCTTTTATGGCGCAGTTACACTATGCGCGAACGTGATTGAATCAGATAGTGTAAACACGCGGTTCAGGTCGTTTCGTTGTGGGTCGCCCATACTTTCGTGAACCCGGCTCGCGCTTGTGTTCTTCGTTTATTCGATTGTCGGTTGTTGTGGTAACTAACGCTACGGGCGTTGCGTACGCGCAGTAGACTTTAATACGAGATATTTTTGTTGAAAAAAGTCAAGGTTTAAAGGTTCTTTCATCGGTTTTGGACCCTATTTATTATACCTTCTGAGCTCCCAACTTAAATCATAGGACTGTGTATACTAACATACTGTATTATAAAGAGCTTAAGTTTCTAAGAAGTAATATCTGGAGCTACTACCGATTTTAAAAATTATTTCACCAGCAGACAGTATACAAAATCTAGTCAATAATATATGCACATACTAGCTTTTGCCTGCGGTTTCACCCACGTGAAATTTATTTTGTCACAGATCGTCATAAATCATAGCCTATGTTATTCTGGGATATAAACAATAATTCTGTAAAGTTTCATAAAAATCAATAATAAATTTCATGAAAGAGTAACAAACATCCAGACATCCAAACTTTCGCATTTATAATATTAGTAAGATAAAATTCTGCCTGTGCCTATAATATACCTGTGATGATCTCATAAATGAGGTCCCTTTCCTCGAGTAAACAGCAATTAGTGTGGGAGTGCTGAAACTCAAAATATACAAAATAAACAATATTTGGCTCACTCTTTCAACAATCGTGACAGTTGAACACCAGTTTTTACGACAGATTTACGAATTTATGCTTGACTAGCGGCCGCCCGCGAATTCGTACGCGTGGATCCCGTTTAACCCCCTTAGAGGTGGAGTTTCGTAAAATCCGTTCTTAGTGAACACCTACAGCTAAAAGGAACCCCCCTAAGGAACCCGCATGCAAAATTTGAGACTCCTTGTTATTTCTGAGATATCGTGAATATCTTTCGCTTTTGTATAGATATAGTAGACTCAAATTATGAGTGGTTAGTAAGAAAGAACAAAATTTCAGATTTTTTGTTTATCAATCACTGAGAAGATAACGAACAGACTTGTTTTTTATCTTAATCCTATATTATTACTTTACTTACTTTTTTCTGGTGGCGTGACCATCATCTTCTTGTACTCTTCAGTTCTCTGGTCAACGGGCACCACCTCTTCGACGCTGAAGATCTTGTCGTGTACTTTCACCCTGGTGTCGTTTTGAGGCACAGCATCAGCACCCAAGTAGAGTGTCCCGATCAGCTCGTAACTTGTCCTAAGCTTCTTTATTTCGTCTACTTTGAAGTCATACCTGATAATTATAATAAAGGATTAGCTTGTTGCATACCAAAGCTTACTGCCCTTTACATTCGTCATCGTAGTGCACTGTGGCCTGTGTAAGAATCACTTTAGTTATCTTGTATCTATGATACAACAGAGTACTCACAAAGGATCTTATAACCAGTTATGAACAGAGAAAACATACACCATTTTAGTAGCTGGTTATGAAACATGGTTACAAAAACGACAAGTAAATTCCATTTTCATAACTGGTTATCAAGCAAGAAAAAAAATCCATTTTCGTAGCTGGTTATCAAATTTCAGTTACGAATGTGGACTAAAGGACATCTTCTATCAACAATATCAACTAGATATCAGGTCAGCGCCAAAATTACATGTATCAAATCCCTATCATCATGTTTTAGTCAACTGACAAATAATTTCATTTGCTTACTGCAGAAAAATACTTACCAATAACCTTTTTCTAAAGGTTCGTCAGTATTATGGTTGATCATAACTTTCTGCCCAGCTTTCAAGTCAGCAACGTCAATTTCTTTCCGTGCCCTTGGTCTTATGTCTTTTAACTTGCAATAGAGATTTGAATCCTCGTCACTGTAAATAAATAACAAAAATTTAATTAAGTATGGTAAAAATAAGTTAACTGCAAAAATTAATTAGTTCAAGTAAAAAAAATTACTGAATCTTACTCAGAATCCAGTTGAACTTTATACAATAAGTTAGCGTCAGTGACATTGTTTGAATTTTCAATCTTCAAATCTATTTCAATTGGTTTTTTCTTCACCGATTTTGGACTTTTAGTAAAATATTTAGCAATTCCTTTCTTTTTTGCTCTGCTCTCAGAACTTGCTTCTTCTGGTGGATTGTTCTCTGAATCACTTTCTTTGTCTGAACTTGATTTAGAATCTTTAGTCTCAGAGTGCTTATCATTAACTGTGTCAGATATATGGTGGGTTTTAGGGTCATACACTATTCTTACTATCTTTCCTTCCAACCAAGCACCCTGTTCCATATCCCTCATATCTACTAAGTCTCCAACAGCATACAAGCTGCTTTCAGCGTCTAAAATATTAAGATTTTCATATAGTATGTTTAATGAAAGAGGAATGTAACTGGATTTATTTATTTATTTAAGGCACAGCTACAGAGAACAAACAATAACAATACAATTAACACAACAACATAGCACAACAGTATACTAAGCAATATACTAACCTTTGTACTCAATTTTATCCTTATCTTTTTCGCTATCTACATTTTTCTCACTTTTTTCACTATCAGTCTTCTCTTTTTTAGGTACGTCCTCCGCCTGCACTTTAACCATAAGCTGGATAACATCATTGAGCTTGATGTTATAATCATGGAATGTATAACCATTTTCTAGCTGAAAATAAATATGTTTGCTAGTGTACAATTTTAAAAGCTTAGCAGACAATAAGACAGAGCAGTTGAGGCTTGTGGTAGCGTTCGTTCGTTTCAGCTAAATGACGTCCGCTGCTGGACAAAGGCCTCCTCCAAGGTTTTCTACAATGCACGGCCCTGCGCTGCCCGTATCCACGCTCTTCCCGCGACCTTTACCAGATTGTCCGTCCACCTAGTAGGAGGCCTGTGGTAGCGTAGCAGGCCTTAATAAACAAGCAATAATCAAAACTCTGGAATGCCTACATGTTATGCCTAAATGCTCTTTTAAAGTTAGAAAGTTTTAGCCAGACGTTGGTTGTCTGTTTGCCTTAATATGTAAAACATTGCACAGTAATCAATTGACTAAATATTAAAACATATTTTCAATTAAATCACTATTGATATGAGGCCTGATGCACCAGAGCATGAAAATCACTAATACTCAACCATAGAACCACCTTGCTTACTATGTGGTGTGAAAGCCATAATAATTTCAGCTTATAAATGTAAATAAGATTATACATTATTCAGTGGATCCAATGTACTATTGGCCACAGTGTTAACTACCTATTCCTGTCTCGTTCTATTGCGAAGAATCACCATTTGATGAGAGTGAGAGCAAAAACAGAAATGGATAGTTAACACTGGCTGATAATACCAAAGCTTAACAATGCCCGACCAAAAATAAGGTTTGCTAATAATGTTACAGACGCATCTACGTATGCCACAGGTCTGCATGTTGTTAACCTCAATATCCTGATCGATACAAGAATAATACTGAATTATAATAAATTTGAAATGTTAATCCATTGCTTTAGAGTTACATTTATTCAACCAGTGCTGAATTTATTGACGCACAAACCCGTAAATATGAGGATCATACGTGACAATACTACTAGCTAACGAACCATTTTAAAATTCAATCTAGATTTTAGAAGGTACTGACGAAAGTTATAACCTTTACGTGTATTCTCACGTGTTTTTAAGCAAGCAAATTACTTCGGGATCATTTATTGAGACTTACCAACTTGCCGCCGTACAGCAAACGTTGTAACTTTGGTTGCACGTCGAATTTATCTTTTATTATCTTGCGAAACTGTTCAATCTTCGTCAGCTTCGATTCAACCACTACAATAGTGTCCGGTTTACCAAATATTCTCACTCTCACGTGCATGTTGTGAACATTTATTTTTTCTTGAAATATAATGCGAAACCTGACAGAATTCCGCAGAAAATCGCACTGTGTGTAAATGAAAATGACATTGACAAATAAAATGGCGCGAATACATGAGTGGCACAGATAATTAAGACATTTATGCCGCAGAAATTATTTCTATCGTATATTTGTTTAATTTTGTATCCGTAGGGCTTCAGTTTTTTTAAATGGTACTGTAACCATTTTACTCTTATTTGTTCACTTTTCTCATAATTATTTAGAAAACAATACTAGATAAACAAGATTGATTAAATTTCTAAACTCCCATTGAATAAATCAATAATTTGGCATAGCAACCCCACCTCCTACTAAATAGTGTTGCTCACACAAACGGTACGGTCACAATCGATATAGTGAATCGATTATTATAATTTATCAATATTTCATAAAACTTGATAATAATTATGTAGGATAGTTCGCAGGTTTCTTCAAAGTGAACAAACCCAATAAGTTTCGGCCCATGAACGACATTACAAACCGGATTCCAGTGGAAACCGTGCCTATAAAAATGTAGAAAATAATAATAATAAATAACTTTATTAACACACATAAAACAAGACAATATAATATTTTTGGTAACAATTGAATAAAAATATTTTGGCGATAAAAAAATATATACATTAAGAAAATGAAAACTATACCAATTCTTGACTTTATTACCGTAATAAAACATAATTAATTGGCAGTTACGAGTAAAACCATCAAATATAGAAAAAACACTGCAGTATAAAATGTTGTTATCGCTACATACGCATTACAATATTTTCAACACTGCTGTAGAAATGTTTCATAATATAATATTCAAGTTAATTTTCGTTCTAATATTTTCAGCACATAATGCATACTCAAAATTACCATCTCTAGTAAATATATTTTTTTAAACTTTAATTATGAGTATGTGTGCACCCATAGGTATTTAATTAAAATCTTTATTATTTTTAGCATCCTGTTTTGGTGGCTCGTTCATCTCTAGATTGGATGCCCAGCCGAGTTAATTCATTATACTCCGATGTTGGGGCTTGGAGCGGCAAATTTGTAATGTTATTTACAATTATTATGTACTAAAATTAAATAATTTATGTGTAAGCCTATTTCAAATGTATTAAAAATTTTAGAGGCCTGTTATGGATGAAATAGAATCAGATGAAGCATTAAGATTTTACCAATTTCTAAACTATTTAGATGGTGGTAGTTTTGGAACAGGTTGGTGATTTTTTAAAGCAATTCACAACATGTGAGTCTATAGTATCATTTTCTTAGTAATAAATTATGATATTCTAGGTCCCATAGATGAGTTTGTAGATGCTATGTACAGGTTAGCAAATTATATGAAACAACAAAACAGTCGTGAGACACAAGCTAGAGGAATGCGAGAACTGGAAGCAATTAACGGTGAAAAAGGTAGGTTCTTACTAACTTACTATTTTTTTAAGTTTGCCAAATATTAACGAACCAACTAACCGAAAGTTTTCGAAGTTAAGTATTCAAAATTGACTCATTCTCTAAATAAAAAAAAATCAAATAAATAATGAAGTCATTGACTAGGCATTTATGCATTAATTTATGGGCTATTCATAATACCTAATTAGCATTATTTCTCTTTTATTCAGGAAACAGCATTAAAACGGTATTGGAAGTAAGTACAGTTATAATGAGGAAAAAAAGGAAATTCTTCTGCACTAGTGAAGTCAAGGAACCCATTGTAAATAATAAAGTAATATGTAAGGTGAGCACAATGATATTATTACCTTTAATAGAAGTAGGACCTACACTTATTTTACTCTTAAAATAATTAACTAAATGCTTTGTTCTCAACGTTAGGATAGAATTTTGTTGCCCATTGCTGGAACATCTTGTAGAGATGCTATAATGTATTGGCATCCCGACCTTACCGAAGAGCATTATTGCGTCGGGGCACTCGAGTCTAAAAGTGCAGTTCACATTATGGATATTGAAGGTTCGTACCTACCTATTACCTATATAACAAAATAATACACTTAGTTTTAATAGAGGATTTCATTTAAACAGTCATTTTTGGTTTCAGGTGAAATGTTTTGCAAGGGAGACGACTATTCTAAACGAGAGTTTCTGCTTGCGTGTGACTTTTATGAGGACCAAGAATCACCCGTAGCAGATCTGCTGCAATATTATCCTGACCCCGATCCAGAAATAAGCCCCAAACTGTTTTAAACATGTTTTAAAATAAAGAACTGAATTAAACGTTTGATATCTTACATTATTTTTTCCTAATCTATTCTACTCCTACCTAACTATTCCCTCTACTAATCTATAAAGTTGAAGTCGCGCGCAATGAGAGTTAAGAACTTGAGATTGCAGTCATCACACATGCACAGATTTGCACTAATTACAACCCGATCGAGCTAACTGCGCACCTCGCTGGAATGCGATTCTCCCTCCCACTTACCCGCACACGCACACCTCCCCGCGTTCACCTTGTTCGTACCAGAGCGTTGATGTGACGTCATTGCTGTCAGTGCGCAGTTAACTTGACCCGGTAGTAGTTTATTTGTACAGCTTTTTGCGTTGACGTCTTGCATAATATATTTCAATTGCGAGTAAATGCTCATCTCAACTTTTTTTCAACCTCTCAATAAACTTTGAATGCGCATTCTCAGCCTCCATCAACAGTCAAATTGAAAATCAGCTTGTTAGTCCAGTAGAATTAGCTTTTAAATCGGAAATAATTCCTACAAAAGATTTTATTGCTTTAATGGCTTCATTGGTTGCCCTTTAAGACTCTCCTAGGTTTTCGACTTCGACGGAGTTGTGCTTAAGTGGTGGGGGCCCCCGAAAGGGGCGCTTTTTCGGTTTTCCGATTATATCGCGTAAAAGACTTATCCTATCGAAAAGTGGTCTTCCTGACGGTTGAAGGGCATTTAATCCTGCATTAAATAAGACCAAATTCACATTTTTTGGACAAACCGTTCTCGTGCAAATGTTCGGCAAAGTAGAAAATATGTGTATAATTAATGACCCTCTCCACGTCCAATAGCTCGTCACCCGTATGCTCCCAAGCCTTGTAAAGGGTCGCCTTAACCAGCGTATCCCTGTCTAGGCTCACGAGTTGGATTCGCTTATCCTTGTTCGTTCCAGCCGTTCCTTAACTGCGGTTGCTGCACCTCTTCCTGGCACTCTCCTGAACGACTCTGTGTTACCTACTGTGGCTGAACGTGAACATAGAGATGATTTAATTGGTTGCCAAATATATTTTTTTCTTTCTTTCTTTCATTCTTTCTAATTATTAAAACATACCAAACATCCATTTAAGATTAATTCTCACAAGAGAAAAATTAAAATAGAGTCCAAATATTTATTAAAAATGAAAAGTTCTAATTTCCTGTCATGTTCCATAGAAGATTTTTCGCATAAAAATCTAACCCTATCATGCTTTCAGTATACTGGCCTTGGTAACGTCGTCTCTCAAATCTCACTATATTTTGATGAAAGCGTGCCCCTTGTTCTTGCGAATAAGCCCCCATAATTATTTATAAATATATCCCAATGAGAATGGGACGTGCATCTTTAGAGACATTCTACTATGAAGATGGAAAATTCAAATCGCTATAACTTCTTAAAAAGCAAATATTTTCGATTTGTAATCGCACTTTTTTATATAAATTTCCTTATATAATCAGAATATAATAAGTAAAATCCATGCGCAAAAAAAAAATTATTTTTTGTTGACCGGTGTTATAGTTGCAAAAGAAAATACCGGCAAAATGGTGTTTTACTAATGAATACTGCACCAGCCGATATGTTGTGAGGTAGTGGTGGTAGGGCAAGCTATGTTGGGGTGTGAAGTGCCCTGAAAAGGGCCTACATACTATAGTAAAGTGTTTAACACAGTCAAAGCTTTTTACGGTCTTGTCCGGCCTGTCCGGCTTTTGTTAGGCTTTTTATTTTGGCCTGCCGCGCCAGGCGAAAGTCGAGCCATAGAATAATATGAAGCGCACGCATCAGGACGTTGAGGCAACCGATGATGATACGATGACAGTACTAGGGTGAGCTATGACACTGATTGCACCCGGTCCTGAGTGCAGTCCGGCTTTTAGGGTAAAATGTCCGGCCAAATGAAGTACAAGTCCGGCTCTTGTGTTTTTGGACCTGGCAACCCTACTCCCGTGCCACTCCCATACCTGATCCCGTGGCACTGACTGAAAATCAATAGTTGGAGTTTCTAGATGGCTACTGTCTACTTCAATGTAATAAAGAATTGAAATGTCTATTTGAGCTATATGGGATGATCACCTTTTTCTAGGACAGGTTTTTGGCACTTTGCCTATGGCTTTTTAGGATCACACTTGTTTGTGTGGATAGAAGATGAGATAAATATTTATTAGATAAGCCATTGCCAGATTTGCCAGACAATGAATGATTTTTACTATACTTAAAAGTTGTTGGGAACCCAACAACGCGCGGGAGGAGACGTGCGGGCGGCGTACAATGACTAACGTCACCTCGGGCCGACAGCGTCATCATCGGCTGCGCTCGGGTCACACACTCGCCTTTGGGACACCACCGTCGTCACACGAATACCGCGTAGTCTAAGATAATTGAATTGTAAATTAGGCTGGCGAGAATACAGCACCTATTTTTATACAGTCCGCTATTTCATTTCTACTAATATTCGTTAGGACCCTAACAAAAGTTGTTAAAAATATAATTAAATATTGGATTTTTATTTATTTTGATGAACTGTACTGAGTAAAATCTGATTAATAATTATTATCTTTTTGATATTTTTTTTATGATTATTTATCTCATTAAGTGCAATATTGACATTGGATTATTTTTGTGCAACATTGAATCTCATCCATTATGACCTACAACAATGATAGTGGTATGGAACATTGTTTTATCTATGTTCTTGTTGTTGCAGCCCAAGCACAAATGCAATCATGTCGTTGACATTTGCAAACAACATCCTGAGCCCAATATTTCCAACGTGTCCCATCAATCAAATGGCTAAGAAGCTGTTAGCTGCCGTCACTATATGTGAGTCGAATGTACCTACTACTACTATTTCTATTTATTTATATTAACCGGCAGACAGTGGTGACTGAGTTTGTTGCGGCGCTTCTTCTCAGCACTTGCCAAATTGGTCTCGAAGCGCTGGTAGGGTAAAAAGATTATGAGACATGTAGAGGCTCCTTAAGAGCAAAATAAAGATTTGTAGGACCTATTTATTAGTCTAAACAAATAAAGAAATTTTGACTTTGACTTTGAGTAGTTATAAAAGTAGTAGTAAATGAGTCCTAATAACCACAGTTGTTATTTGAAAGGGATAATTGGATTAAATATTAGACATTGGCTGTAAATACAGGAAACAGGAATATTATCATCTATTTATGTGTTTGCTTTAGATAAGTAGAGGAAATTCAAATGGCCAAAAAGCTATGTTTATGTGCATAATTTATTATGAACTAGCTTTTACCCTAGCTTCGTCTGCGTGAAATTTAGCATGTCATAGATCGTTAACCGACCGACCGACCGACCCCTAAGAGGGTAAAACGGGATCTACGCGTACAAAGTCGCGGGTAGCCGCTAGTAAACAATAATACTGCAAAGTTTAATCTAAATCCGGTCAGTAGGTTTTGCGTGAAAGAGTAAAAAACATAAATCCACATAAACTTTCGCATTTATAATATTAGTAGGATAGGTATAGATAATATCACATTCACATTCCCTCTTACAGGTTTCCTGACTTTCATAAACGCTTACAACGTGAGGTTCACAACTCGGCTACAGAATGTGTTTATGTTCACCAAGATCACGGCTCTCGTCGTCATAATAGGCGCGGGAATCATTTACATTTGTAAAGGTAAATAAAAACGCATTGCTACTCATCTGTGTTCAAATATGAGCATAACATATTTTTTCTTGAGTACCAACTAAGAATATTCTTAGAAGCTTAATTCAACCAGTCAAGTCATTAAAAACCTTACTCTGTTTTCGTAGGAGGAACTGAGCACTTTGAAGATGGTTGGGAAGGGACTGCAACATCGGCTGGAGATTGGTCTGTGGGCATATACTCTGGAATATTCGCTTACTCCGGATGGTAAGTTAATAATTTTATTATTATTCTACTAGCGGCCCGCCCGCGACTTCGTACGCGTGGATCCCGTTTTGCCCTCTTAGGGGTGGATTTTCGTAAAATCCTTTCTTAGCGGAAGCCTACGTCATAACATCTACCTGCATGCCAAATTTTAGCCCGATCCGTACAGTGGTTTGGGCTGTGTGTTGATAGATCACTATGTCAGTCAGTCTTCACCTTTGAGTTATTATTTAGATAATTGACGTTTGTTTTCGTCTCCTTTTCCTTTCTATTGGATGGCCCTTTCCGAATTTAGCCTAACTAGATGGAACTTTCGAGATTAATTACATTAGCTTTGCCCGTGGTTTCAGATTGGATCTCTGTACTCTCTGTCTGCTACAGATACTTTTTAGCTCACGTCAATGCTAATATGAGTGAACTATGGCCTGTTGGGCGTCCACCCACAAGGTTGACCGACGACATCGTAAAAGTAGCAGGAGTTGCTGGACGCAGGCCGCTACCAACCGGGCAGTATGGAAAGCATTGGGGAAGACCTATGTTCAGCAGTGAACGTGTTATGGCTGAGATGATGATGATGATGGGCCATGAACTTGGTCACCATCGTTACAGCTCACACATAAACTTGTAAACTAACAATTATGGCTAAGTCTACTGATATAGGTAGTAAAATATTATGTAACTATAAATAAGATTGATATGTTAAAACATTTGTCCATCAAAATGTAACGCTCACTTGTCCAGCTAACTTGTAATATTTCTGCGTCATCTTCATATTAGAGAGAGCCTTGGTACCCATAACACAAGTTAAATCTTAGCTTGGGTACCAGGATTCACTCAACATACTGTTTGTGTACCTGTCTAGATTGTTGTAATCTACATTCATTACTGTGTAGTAGGCATGGAAATGATTGCTATTTTTCATTCATTTTCATTCTATGAAATGATGATTTTTTTTCATATGATTTCACATGCGAATTTTCACAGNATAATCCTAACACTCACGTCAGGATATTTTCAAATTGAAAAACCTAGTGAACAGTTTTATGTGATTTAAAACAGTAAAAATAATATAAACAAGATTTAGCCCTGAGAACGTCACATTAAATTATGCTCTGTAGCAACATAAACGGTTATAATAGATGTTGTTTTGCAACAGGTTTGTTAATCTTGACCTAGTATATTTACTTGGACTACAAATCAAACTCGGGAGCGTTCCTTCATTTATTTATTTTACCGCCATCCTGTTTATTAGCCTTTGACAGCCATTTAGTGGGAAGGTCCTCGCACTAAACTAGTTTACGTCTCACGAAAGTGATAAACCAACAAATTTGTATTTACACCCTGTATACAGGTTTCACGGGAAAATGAACCTTAAGACAAGGACACAAGGATGGGTGTTTGGCTAAATTGACAAAGATTAAAGATGTATTGGCCAATGCAGATGCGTAAAGTAAAGCAATTACGGCAGATTCATTTAGTTTATGGTGTTTGTTACCTTGAGGTTGATCTTTGTTCGTCAAACTATAAACTACGCATACCTAGACAAACAGTGGCACAACTTAAAATACTTATTCTTACAGGAATGTAAAAAGTTCATGTAGTTTTTGACGCAGATTTTGATAAAAGTAATAACTCTATTTTGGATTATTTTGAGTTATGCCACCCTTCTTCTCTTCAATCTAGGTGTGCGACTAGTAATATTCGTCTTTATTTATATTTCCAGGAAAAACGACTTGGAAAGAAAATTTCCGACATCGCCCACACTAAACTCGATCATCCTTCTGTCATTCAAAAATCCCCTCTCTCTTTCATTCATAACATTCCCTTTCACTCATTCTTGTCAATTTTACTTACAATCCCTCATGAGCTTCAAAGTAACACTTTCAGATCATAAATGCCACTTCAATATTATTAATGTAGGTACTCAAAAAGCCAACCCCGTTTTGATCCTATCTAACTAGATAACTATTAATAACTTTTCCATCATTTTTAGTTCATTAATACCAATTCCATAGTTTCCAGCGTGGAATTCCAATTTACAACGGCGACGTCAGCGAAACGTTTGTCCCTAATTCAATTAAAGGTGGTATTAGACAAATATATTGCACTCGCTAGCCCAGGTGCAAGGAAGCTTAATTTCAGCCATTTATTAGGTCGTGTAGACCAATCTTTACGATAGGTTTTAGCTTAGAGCTTCATAAGTATTTTGGTCAGGATAGTGTAACATTGTTATGAGCTGAAAGTTAGGGTATTCAGTTAAGTCTGTAGCGTTGTGGTTATCGTAGTAGAGAGTTTCGCATCGTAAATATTGAAGAGGCTAAAGGGTTCACTGACTGTACCGTTATTGTTCTAATGAAAAGACCGCCAAGTAGTGTCATTTCAACTTATTTTATTGTGTTCTTTTTAACCGTTAAAATATGACCCAATAATCATCAATACTATAAATATCTTAAATATAAATAAATTATTTATTTTTCTAAGGGTGGATTCGACCAAACAAGAGTAATTATTATTCTCAGAATAAATCGTCAGTTTTGACATATTTCCCATACTGAAACTGACAATGTGCCAGGTAAACCAGTAGTTATTCTCGGATAAAAGTTTGGTCGAATCGGGCCTAAATCAGTATCGAAAAGGAGTAAATAGAGCTAAAAGTTTTTGGCTACCAGAGGTCAGCAAGGACTCCCAATGAATAATTATATTATTTATTCGTGATTTACTAACAAAATGTCTAGGAACTACGAACTTTTTCAAAGGCACAGCCACCATTCTGCGGATTACGCTGACGCGATGACGACACATTTACGAGCCCATAACTTACAGAAGACTGACGCCATTTTGTTGCGTTGGGCAGGCTTGTGAGCAATACAAGTTTAATATAATTAAAATGTAACACACTAGCTTCTGATATGATGAGGATTTATAATGAAACTATTTAATTTTATCACACGAGAAAAAAAAGATACCAAGATTTAGTGCTTAAGGTAAAAAAAAATACATAAAACTTGATAAAGACTCTTTAAAGCTTGTCTTCCTACGCTGCGCTGCTACCACCATAAGTTGCAATAATAGGCTGAATGATTTATTTTTATTTATTAGGTTAGTTTTTGGGCCAAATTTTTAGCTCTACTCTATGAGACAACATTAGGCAGAATTGCCACAACAATTTAGTCCATTGGGAATTGTGAGACTCTATTATTAACTGCTGTTTTAGAAGATGCTTATTTTGTTTTAGATGATGTTTGTATTAGGTGCTATGTGCAAAATGAAAATTTAGAGAAAGATCAAATTAGTTCATTAAGCCCCATTTAAACCCTCACCATCCACAAAAGTTAGTCTTAATGTTAAACATAATTACTCAAGTAATTAAAATTGGCAAATTGTTGAAGTTTGTAAGCATGTCCTGAACAAAACATTCAAGTTGAGCTAAATTAAATTCCTTAAAGTCCAGAGTATCTTCTAGTTCGTTATACTTCAAGCAAACTGAGTTCAATTTCTATCTTCACTTTGTCCTAAAGTTTAATATTACTATTTGAATGGAGATTGTTTTGAAATTGTGCAAAATATGCAAATAGGTTTAGCACAGATTAGTTGGGAGTTATAAGAGTTTGGAAGTACGTACTTACTTATGATTGACAAATTACTATTGTACGAGTATTTCTAAATAGTACGAGTACTTCAGCCTGTAACACTACTTAATTTGAGCGACGCATTCTTTATAACTCCTTCCTGCAGTAAAGTTTTCCCGAACGACCGCGGCAGCCATTACTGGCAGTAATGGCACATATTGTTTGTCGGTCTGTTTCCGACCGAAGCCGTGCTAATTTATAGTGCTTGCTTGCATATTGGTTGCTTTAAATGCGCCTGCAGTGTACGGGAAAAGTTTAGTAAAGTTCTAGTAACTTGTATTGGCTTTTACCTAATTAATGTGAAACCAATAATGTTAGTTAAAATGTGAATTGAAACAGAAAGTTCAGGGTTTGAATTTCATGTTATAGAATCACTTTACAACTAGGATGCTTAAGATTGTGTACTTCAGACACATAAGTTGTCTGTTTAATTTAGCCAATTCGGACGCCTTAGCCAGTTCACAAAATCTTGGACTAGTCTCAAAGTAATTAATTTTTACCCGACTAAGTACGGCAAAGCAAAAGGAGGGTTATGATTTTTAAACTTTCGCGTTGCATAATTGAATATTACCTGTATTTGCCTGAGACGTTTCGACCGAGTTGCAAAGTAGTCTCAAAAGTATTGGGACATTTTAAACTCTTCCGATATTAGGGTCAGAGCTAGGTAGTTTAGGAAGTCTGACATAAGCCAACTTGGAGGATTCTTTAAGAAAAACAATCGTACTACCCGTTCGCGCTAAGTTTGCCGGTCCGTGGAATGCGCGTCCCCTCCTCCAACCGTGATTAAACGCAATTAGTTAGTGATTAAACGCAATTAAGTGTCTTATTTTACGTAAATACACAATTTTTATCAATATTAATAAATAAAAAAAATTTTCAATATAGTTTGCTATAGAGTTATAGACGCTTTCTTTCGAGTGACGTCATATCGCCAGCGGCAAACTTATCGCGAGCGGATAGTACATACGGCAGCACATCAGGCTACCCATTTTTGTTGCAAACTCGCCCCTATTACAACTGCACAAGAACCCACAGTGGTTACCTTGACGTGCCGTCGTCCGTACTTTGCAAGGCATATAATGCCTTGATACTTTCTTATTGCTCAATAGATTATTTGTGAGTGTCAATTTTGTTTATTTTGTTAGTCATCTGCATACTTCAATACAAACTCTAGCAACAACAGAATTCTAAAAACGCAATATCCCATTGCACGTCTCTTTATTTACCGGACTGTAATAATAAGCTCTCTCTCTATACAATAACGGTCAATTCTGTTTGAATATTACACCTGGAATTGTTTGGAAGATGGAAATGCTTACATTGAGGAATGAGGAGGGTACCTTCGTGCCACGTCATAGCTGCAACTTGCAATCA